AAAAAAAAAAAAAAAAAAAGCGGCCTGCCCAGCCCATCGGGGCCTGCACAAGAGCTGTTTGCTTCCGTGTGGCCTGGACTGAGGGTGACTTCCTGGTCTCCTGCTGGGTCCTGGCCCAGGCACTGTCACACCACACTCAGTGCCGGCTCCTGAGTTGCTTGGCTGCCTCTCCTCAGTGGCGTGTCAACCCGAGCTAGGGAGGGGGAGGCCTGGCCAGTGCCACCGGTTGGACGTGCTGGCCTTTGTTGGGGGAGAGGGGTGCTCCTCCCCCGTAGAGGCCGCAGGTGCCAGGCAGCTTCCTGGCGGGTGCTCAGCGACCACCCTTGGTCTCGCTGGCCTCCCCCACCCGAGCAGGCCATTCCCCTTCCAGCAGCCCCGGCCGTCCTCGGGCTGCCCTTCTTGATCAGCTCTGAGGTATGCCTGCGTCCCTGGACGCCAGATGGGCCTTTGGTTGCACGAGAGCCCTGCGCCTGCCCCGCTGGCCTGCCTGGAGCCGCCCTCCCAGACGCCCCTTCCTGTTTGCAGACGAGAAAACCGCAGCTGGGCGGCAAGGGCCTGGCGCTGAGCTGGCTGCCCTGGGACCGCAAGCAGGGCGCGAGGGAGGAGCCATCTGGTGCCCGCCGTCCTGCTGCTCTTTTCCCTCTTACACCGAGAGTCTGGGAAGGGCACGGCCAGAGTGACCGGAGGCTTGTGCAGTCTGGGGTCAGCCGGGCCCTGCTCCCACAGGCGTGGACCCCTGCTCTCCGCTGCCCTGCCCACTGACAGCAAGCGGCCACCCTTGCCTGCGCCCTCCAGCTGGCTGTCAGGGTCTCCCGCGGGCACAGTGTTTCCATCTGCCCTCTCTGAACGGCTGCCTCGGTGGCGTCCAGCCTCTACCCACCACTGCCCGGGCCGCCTACGGGCGCAGCCTGCCCTGTGGTGCCCACGCCTGGCCTCCTGCTTTGTATGGAGCCTGCGTTTGGGTTGTGTGGAACGGCTCCAGCCAGTGGCCGCACGTCCATCCACTGGGAGGCACCTGCAGCCTTGGCTCCATGCCTCCTTGGCGTGGGGCTGAGCCAGTCCAGGAAGAGCCACGTGGAGGGGCGAGGCCCTGGCCAATGTGCAGGATGCCGCCGGCCTCGGGCACCCCGGCCTCAGCACGTGGCTCCTGGTGCTTGCTGCCCTGGCCTGTGCGTCTGGTCCCTCCAGCTCTGCGCCACATGGATGCTTCCTCTCCTGGGGCTCCCGTCCTCCAGCTCGGGTTTCTCTCCAAGTGGCACATGGTGCCCCGGTGGTCCCTGTGGGTGTGGCTGCCAGCCCCGTTGGGGTTTCCGCCGTGGCTTCTTCCAGGGCGTCTCCATCTCTTCTCTCAAGCTGGATGTCTCAGCTCCTGACGTGCTTGTTCTGCCCCTCCCCTGTGCCGACCATGTGCCTGTTGTCCCAGCCATGGTCACTGCAAGGGGGTAGCATCAGCACAGGTGGCGTGGGGCCCACTTCATGGACAGCAACCACGTGGCTGGCTGAGTGACCCCCCCGTGGCATGGCACACGCGCCGCAGGACCCAAGCCCACCTCTGTCCTGTGCTCGCCACGGCGTGGGAGGGCAGACGGCTGGAGCTGTGCTCTGGCCCCGTGCTGCTGCCACGTCCCCCACTGCTGTTTGCTCATGGCAGGGTCTCCTGCTGCCACCAGTGTCCCCTCCCCACCCAGGCAGAGGAGCGTGGACTGGGTGGTCCCGCCAGCGGGACCTGCAGCAGCCCTGTGCCGCACCCGGGCCCCAGTGATGGCCGCCTCCTGTCTCTTCAGGCTCGCGCATCAGTGCCAGAAACCGCCACCCCACCATGGATGGGGAGGAGCAGCCGCCCCCTCGGGAAGTAAGACTGGGCCAGGGCACTGTCACCACACAGAGGAGTGAGGCCCCAGAGAAGACCACCTCCTACAGGGTGACTTCCTGGGCCACTCTAGCTGCTTCTCTTGGTTTTCTAGAATTTCACGGGGAGGGGGGCCCTGGGCGGTGGCCTGGTGGCTCTACCCACCCCACCTGGCGGCCTCCCCAGGGGTGGCCACAGAAGGGGGGTTCCCAGGAGCGTGGGCCCAGTGCACAGAGTGGCTGCACGGACTCAGGCTGTCGCCACGCCTGGACATCCTGACATGAGTGCCTCTCTGCCTGCAGGCTGACACGGAGCCTGATGTGACGTCAGGGCCTTTGGAGCCAGTGCCCACGATGCCCTCTGGAGAGCCCCAGAGCCTGAGTACGTCTCCCTTGGGCCTCGCATGGTCTGGGTGTGGGTGTGGCCACTGCTGGCAGCAGGGCTTGGAGAGTGGACCCAGAGGGGTCGCCCAGCTGCTCACAACAGCCGTGCCCATTGCAGCCGACACAGATGCCTTCCACCTGCTGCTGGAGATGAAGCTGAAGCGGCGTTGCGAGCCACCCAGTCTGCCCCCCACCGTGACCCAGCTGGTGGCCGAGGACGGCAGCCGGGTGTACGTGGTGGGCACAGCCCACTTCAGTGACGACAGCAAGAGGGACGTCGTGAGGGTGAGGCCACCAGCCGCCCCATGTGGGTGGACATGGGCTGTGGGAGCTCCTGCGTTCTGGGACCCAGCCGTCTGCCGCCCACCTCCTTTGGCACCCGGGGTCCCGGGAGGGGAGCTGGTGTTCCCGGCCAAGGCTGGGAGGCCCGGAGCGCTTCGCTGCGCCGCCCTCGGTGCTTGAAAGTGTGGATGGGGGCACAGGGCGAGGCCTGGGGGTGCGTGCCGGTCCGGGACGTGGCCGTGGCCATTGCAGACCATCCGGGAGGTGCAGCCGGACGTGGTGGTGGTAGAGCTGTGCCAGTACCGCGTGTCCATGCTGAAGATGGACGAGAGCACGCTGCTGCGCGAGGCCAAGGAGCTCAGCATGGACAAGCTGCAGCAGGCCGTCAGGCAGGTGTGCGGGCGGGACCCTCCATCTGGCCTGCAGGGGGCTCGTCTTGGGTCCCAGGCTCTGGGGGAGCCGGTGAGGGCGCTGCGACCCAGGACCCCGTCTGCTGAGAGCTCCTGGGGCGGGGTGGGTCTCTCTGGGCTGCTGAGAACCAAGACTGAGGTGGGATTTTTGAAAGGAGCCGGCGTCTGGTCTGGCCGGGGGTGTGCCCGCCCCTTTCAGAGGTCGTGCGAGACCCAGGCTGGTGCCTGCCCTCCATCCCACATGCCCCAGGCGAGGGGAGTCACCTTCACAGACCGCCCCCATCCAGCCAGGGCCGGCGCCCGGGCAGGCAGTGGCCATGATGGCCCTGCAGCCCCACCCCAGAGCCAGGCTCCATGGTTGTCTGGAAGGCGCGACCGGCTGCTCATTGCGGAGAAGGCGGGGTGGGTGACTAGGGCCGCTGCACCTGGCGCTGCCCAGGGGAGCCCCAGTGGCGACATGGATGCAGGCCGGGAGTGCCGGCCGGGCTCGTGGTGCTGGAGTGCCGTGGGGCTCAGTCACATGGGTGCGGCTGCTCATCTGGCCAGGGCCCCTCTGCAAGGGTCATGGTCGCCTAGACTGGGCGGCCCCAGCCCCTGGCCCCCGGCCCCGGCGGGTGAGGATGTTGCTCGCAGGACATTCCCGGGTCGGCGCCAGACCCTCCCTGGGAATGCCCAGGCGCCTAGCCCACACAGCTCCTCACGGGTGCCCAGGCTGCAGCCGCCTCCAGAGCCTCATGCCTGCCTAGGGAAGCGTGTCCTGGGTGTGCAGCCTGCCCTCGGCCCAGCCAGCCTGACGAGATACCCAGGAGCAGCTAGCCTCAGATGCGGCATCCGTGCCTGGCATGGCACTGCCGCCTGGGGCCAAGACCGCCTGTGCTCAGTGGGGGACAGGAGACAGCCCTTTCGATACCTGGCTATCCCACGAAGGCTGTTCTCAGGGCCTGCCTCTAATGTGATGTAAGGCCAGAAGACTCACGCCAGGAGGGCCTTGCGCGCCACAGCGTCCCTACACTGAGGCAGGGGGAGCCCGAGGACGCAGCTGGGCAGAACCCACCCTCAGGTGCGGGGCCAGCCACCCGCCATCCCCGCGGCGCTGCTGTGCCCGGCTGAGCCTGGCCCCTCTCCCTGCAGAATGGTCTCATGTCTGGGCTCATGCAGATGCTACTGCTGAAGGTGTCCGCGCACATCACCGAGCAGCTGGGCATGGCGCCCGGTGGCGAGTTCAGGGAGGCCTTCAAGGAGGTGGGCACGGGAGTGCAGGTGGGGGTGCATGCTGTGGCCGGGGCTTCCCGCCACTCCCTGACACCAGGCTCTGCTTCAGGCCAGTAGGGTGCCTTTTTGCAAGTTCCATTTGGGTGACCGGCCCATCCCAGTCACCTTCAAGCGGGCCATTGCCGCGCTGTCCTTCTGGCAGAAGGTCAAGCTGGCCTGGGGCCTGTGCTTCCTGTCGGACCCCATCAGGTAGGGCCGCCGGCCGGGAATGGGGCCAAGGCTGGGGCAACCCATGGGCAATCTGGGCGGCACTGACCCTCCCCGGCCGACCCTCCCCTCGCCCACACCCCGCCCCTGCCCCTGAGCGGTGCCAGCTGCGCCCTCTGTCCCCAGCAAGGACGACGTGGAGCGCTGCAAGCAGAAAGACCTGTTGGAGCAGATGATGGCGGAGATGATCGGCGAGTTCCCCGACCTGCACCGCACCATCGTCTCGGAGCGGGACATCTACCTGACCTACATGCTGCGCCAGGCTGCCCGGCGCCTCGAGCTGCCTCGCGCCTCTGACGGTGACGGCCGCCCGCCAGGCGTGGGGCCCCTGGGACACGCGTCTTCTGGCCTATGCTGACCCCGCCCCTTCCCCACAGCTGAGCCCAGGATGTGCATCCCCTCCGTGGTCGTGGGCGTCGTGGGCATGGGCCACGTGCCCGGCATCGAGAAGAACTGGAGCGCCGACCTCAACATCCAGGAGATCATGACGTGAGACCCGCCCCGGGCCCCAGGGGAGGTGGGACCCCTTGTGGGGGCGGGCTCGGGCTCTTGTGTCCCAGCCCGGCCCAGCC